CAACCCTGTGGACTCTCACAGGCTGGTATATCGAGTGGGAATCTGTTTAAGGAAATAGGGGCTAGAGGAAAACAAGGACCTGTTGAGTAACGTTGAGAGACCAACCAAGAGTAGGAGCACTAGATGATGCAATCGGGCAGATGAGCCTTGATTTATAAACTTGGTAAGGAAGAATTTATTCCACATACCCTGCCCTTACCCAATCCCACAGATCAAATGGCGTGAGGTTCAGGCCAAACTTCTCCTTACCACAGACAGAGATGGGTCAAATTTTTCTAAAAGTAGCCACTCACTTTGATGTCTTCATTTTCGGGGTGCTCACCTTGAGATCCTCAAGGGCTTTTTTCCATAGATGCTGCCATTGACTTCAGCTGTAATGGTGGGAGCTTCAGCACTTCTGAAACACCCAGGAACCTAAAGCCCGCGATGGACTTTTGTAGGACTGTCCGCTCCAAACTTTCATTGGGTTGACTAAGGCTGCTCTGGAACACAAGTGATTTAACTCCCAACCTGGCACTGGTAGAGCAGCCACCTGGGACTGCAAGCGGGGTGGGACAGAAGGATTTCAGCTGAGAGGAAGGGCTAGGTGAAACAGTCACTTAGAACAATGGAGTGGGGGGCGGGGAATGTGAAGTGTCCAGAAGTAAATGAATCTCTCTCCAGCACAGAATGTGTGTGCTGGCATCTAGCAAGGAATACACCTGAGGTTATAAAGAGACCAGTGTGTGTGTGTATTTAAAACAAAAAAAGTGTGGGAAAGAAAGGGAGACATCAGATTCCAGGTACAGGTGAGAACTGATAAATTGAATGATTAAAAATAAAATGGCAACAAATAAAACCTATATAAGAAACAATGCAAATGTGTAGTGAACAGGAGATCAGAAAGGAGATATTAAAGGAGATGGCTGAGAAGAGGCATTTTAAACACAAGAGGCACATTGATTGAGGGAACATTTAATTTTTAGCAGTCTTTACAAAGAAGAGCAGGGAAGAGATGTCAACTCCAGGCACAGGCTATTTCCCAGAAGAGGGAGAAGAAAGACCCAAGCAAATAGCCACACGAGAACAGGAAATGAGAACCTCTGCAGGCCCCAATGGCGTCCATGCCAGGATTGCGAAGGAAGAGACCAAGAAACAGAGTGCCTTCAGCCAGTACATTCAGAAACTTTGGAAACCAAGAAGATCCTGATGAGAGGACAGTGAAACGCACACTCATGGATTCTAGAGAAGATGCAGGCGCCTTCCAGACATGTAAGTGTGGCTTCAGCTGAAGGGAAGACGGTACAAGAAACGTTACCTGGAGTGGAATGGGAAGCGTCTCGGTAAGTAAGTGGCCGATGACCAGGAAGACCGGGGAAGCATGTGAACGTTAAAGGTTTTGGTGTAGCACCATAAAAGCTCCATCCAAGGATCCATAAGTGTGGCCTAGAGGAAGAACTTCTGTATCTGAACTGATGACAAGCGGACTGGGCTCCATAGCCTAGGCAGAGGGGACGGGAGGGAGGGAGGGAGCTGCAGTGCCACACAGGTTAATATTGCAGCAAATTTCATGCCTGTGCTGTACCAGTGATTGGGAGAAGGAAGGGTAAGCTGGGGGGGAGGGGGGAGTGGGGGACCAGAGAGTGGTGGGGATGGGGGTGCAACATGCCAGCAGCAACAAGGCAGGAAGATGATTTTTTGCAGCAGCATTCTGAATGGTTGCAAAGGGGAACTAGAGCCCTGTGTCAAGGCCAGAGGAGAAGGTTGATCTAGTCAAGATGTAAGCTGATGCGGGCGGGGGGGGGGGGGGGGCTAGACAAGAGTTTAATTTGTGTGGATGGCAAGGAAAGGCCAGGTCTTGGAGAGAGCGGCCTGAAGAAGCACCATGGCCCAGGCACAGCCTGGATGTGTGGGCTAGAGCGATCAGGAACCGATGAAGCTGAGATTCAGGCCCTGAATGGAAGGGAGTTGGGAAAGGTGCCGGGGGGAGAAGAACATCAAGAACTCAATTTGGAGCTTTCTAAGTAGAGATCCCCTTTAGGACTCGTTAGACAGACTGACCCCACTGGCTAGAGCTCGGCTTAGTGCGGGCAAGCGCTGGGCAAGACGCCGTGCGAAGCAGAGTCCCTGCAGCCGCTCCTCTGTTCTGACCAGCATTCGTGCAGTTCGGTGCTGAGCTCTGGCAGTGCTCGTGGAGCCACCACTTCAACTGGGGGCCGTGTCTGAGTAGGCTTGTTCTAGCGGCTTTGTGCTGGGATTGCAGCACTAACCGCATTTGTACTTGGTGGCGCTAAGGAAGGTTTGAAGTCCGATCTCTGCGGCTGAAAGGCTGCTGTCCTGACCCAGCACTTTGCCACCATATAAGCTGAGGGGGAGATATCCAAACGGTCAAACTGCTGAAAAGAGCCATTCCCAGGCTTCCATCTGGGCGCAGAATCGAGAAAGTTGCACAAAAAGGAAACTTAAAAGTGAGGAAGTGAAACAACAACGTTTGTCTGATTCCCCGTTTCTCCCCCTGTGAAGTGTGTGTAGAAAACCTCTCTGCAGGTTGCTTCCCTTGTCTGAGTGGCTAACACTGTAGTTGTCTTGCTCTGCTCCCTCACCTGTCACCTTGCGGGTGAGGGCTTGGACGGGTGTCCTAGAAAAGTCCAAAGGACTGAATTGTGCGCACACAAGCAAGGTTTTTGGGTCCGTTCTGCACATCCTGGGGAGCCATGTCCTGACAGTGTCAGGAGGTAGGAATCCCGAATTGTTCTGCGCTGAAGGGTTTTGTTAGTCATTAGTCCTGTTATGAGAAGCATGGGTGAGTGTGTCATTCGCTTTCCTCCTCCTCCTGTCTTTAGGCTGTCCCAGTGCCTCTGCGCCCCTGCAGCCACAGAGGGAAAGGATCGCTCCCATAGAACTGGAGAAAGAGAACCTGCTGGGTCCCCTCTAGTTCATACTTCCTCCTTCCCCCCAGCCCTGGAGAATGGTGCAGGATTGTCCCCTGCCCTCTATTCTCTAGGACTGTCCCAGTTCTGAATGTGTCGCTTTGCATAACCCTTCCTGTGCACGCCAGCATTCGCCCAGTGGCACCAGGAGCAGTGGGAAGCTGAATCGGGTGTAATGGCTGGAGTCAGTTTAAAGCTGCGGCTGGGAAAAGCGTGTCCGTGATGGTTACCAGGTTGGCAGGAATCTCTCCCTTGTGTGCACTGGAAGGGGCCTGAGTCCTCTGCTCGTGTGATCCTGGCCAAGGCCGGGGACGAGCCTGTAAGGGGGAGGCGGGTTGGTCCGCTACGCCTCGGATCAGGATTTCAATTGTTCTCCAGACAATAAGGCCAGATTATCACAGGGAATTGGTTTCCCCTCTCAAAATCATTTCAAATTCCTCCTTGCAAAACTGGGGAAGAGAACTCTGGCTCCCCACCCCTGCTAGTCTCGGGCTGTGCAAAGGGGAACCTAGTGCCTGCTTTTAGCTCCATCACTTTCGTTGAGAATTGTATAGACTAGCTTCTTCAGGCCAGTTCTCTAGATGCTTTTCCTCCCCGGAAATGCCTTGGTTTTATTCCAATCCCTCTCTCTGCACTCCGCTTCTGGCACCGATGTCTGGAGACCCTGCCTCCCGTGTGCATGCTGGGAGGGAGTTCTGCGATGATTGACAAACAGATTAATGGGGCGGGGGGAGCTGGATTCTGTCGGCTCCTAGCAATAATGGCAGGAGGTATGGGTGGTGGTGGTGGTGGTGGTTTTTACTTGATGGCCGATGTGTCTGTGGGGCGTAAGGGTGTAATCTGCTGAGTGAAACACCAAGCTGAGCGCGAACCAAGGAAACGGCACATGTGGCAATGATAATCTGATGTTTGATATTCAGTAGTTTCCAAACTTTAAGGCTCATGGCTTTGGAAACGCCACCCGGACAGGAGAAGATGGAGAAGTATCTACAATACAGAGATCAGTCCTGAAGTAGCTAGATGGCCTAAAAGGTGATGCCGTTGTGCTGGGGACCTGTGTTTGGTTCCTCCCTAGCCTGGCAAGTGTCAGGCGGTGCTGCAGGGGGGACAGGCACTCTCGTGGAAGCGGGTGTCTTGCTTTCTTTGATTCCTTTGTCTGAGTAGAGAGCAGGACTGGTGGCTTCCAAGCGTGTCTGGCCCTCTTGAAGGGCAGGGCAATTGGCTGCGATATGGGGAGCTAGAGGGTTTCCTTGGGGGTCCACAAGTAACATGATCCAAGAGGTTCAGTTGCCTAAGTGGTGAGCTGGGTGGTGGGTTGTACAGCTGGTGAGGAAAGCGTGGGAGTGGGGAAGGAAAGGTGGGTCTCTGGCAATCTCCGTTCACTTTCCCTGTGCCTGCATTGCTCAGGTGCCCTGTTCCCTGATGCTCTGTGCTCTCCACACACGCTGCCTGGTTGTCTCTGGAGCAGCAGCTGAACTGGCCAGGTGCTGTAGGTCCCAGGTCGTGCTGTCGCTGGGAGCCAGCAGCACTCTGATGCCCTGAGATCTAGAGCCGGTAGCATCACCCTTGTGTCAGGCCCAAGGGCTGTGACCCCCGTGGTAGCTGCAGTGTCCGAACCTTCTGTCAGGAGACATTGGGGACGTTTTGCTCTGTCCAGCTGGCGGGATATTGCTGATGTGATTTAGTCTGGAGTCCTCTGACCAGCGCTGTCAGTGGGCACTGGTGGGTCAGAGAATGGGTATCCTTCACTCCCGGGGGCCTAGAGGCCAGATTTTGCATTGTGGGTCTGCAGGAACTTCCTTCACTTTGGAGGAGTTACTCTGGATTTACCCCAGGGCCAGTCAGAGCAGACCCTGGCCAAGAAGCCTAGGGGGACGGTAACGTACTGCATACCCCACAGTCCCTGCTTTCCAGCTGCTCGCTTCTCCTTCCTTCTCTCCTCACTGTCTGCCTTCCCCCTCCCCCATCTCTCTCCTTCCTCCTTCCATCGCTCCCCATCCCCCTTTTCTCTCTTTCTCTTTCTCTCTCTCCTGTCTCCCATCCCCCCTCTCCTCTCTTTGTTTCTCTGCCTCCACTCTCTCCCTGCCCCTCCTTCTCTCTGTCTCTTCTTTCTTTCTCTGTTTTTGTCTGGCTTTCTTTTCTCTGCACTGGCCACCCTCCCCCACCCCAGGGTAAGACTTTAAATTCTTCCCAGGCAGCTACATCTGTGTAAGACGTTCCCTCCTCACCAAACCCTGAACATGAGGAAAGGCTGACATTGCTCTGTTCACATATTGCCTTTGGTAGTAGAGTAAAGGAGGCTTGGTGAATCCTTGCTCTGGGCTTGCTTTGTGTCCTCTAGCTCGCCAGCTCTGCATTTCCTTCTTTCCTCTTACACATACTAGAGGAACAGGCGCTCTGGAGGAATTCTGACTGACGTGTAGCAGTGCCCAGCTGTCCTTTGGAGAGAGCAGTAGCCAGACTTAGTCTAGAGACTGACCAGGTATGTTTGATGCTCTATTTAACCTTTTGCAGGGACCCTGAGCTACAGATGTGCACGTGCTAGGGTGCGTCAAAAGGCTGCTCCTTCCAGATGTGGCACCGTGCAAACAGCTTGCTGTGGTGCACTGCGAAGAGGGAAGATCTTGTCTGTAAATCAGGGCACAGGCTGACTAGCTCTCGGGGTCAGAGCAGCAGAACTTAGTAATGGGTCAGTCGTTTCCCCAAACGTTAAGGAAGCTGTCTCAGCACTGGAGTGATGTTTGACTCCGCCTGCCTGGTTCTAAGGAACAAGTGAGTGGCTCACATGGTGTGAGCTGAAAGTGTTAGAAGGAAGTGGGTTCTGCACTGCTGCAGTACACCAGAGCCATGCTGGCCTGCGGGCTTCCTGCCCTGGGCTGGGACAGACCTTGGACCTGCCTCTGTAGCTCCCAGCCACTCTCTTGAGTCTAGCTCAGTTTGGCTAGAACCTCTCCCCGGCTTAAACAAAGTCCCTCTCCTGATTTGTACCCAGTGGGAGCCCCCACACATGCACCCCATTCCCTGCACCTTTCCTTTATCTTCTTGCCAATGCTGGTATGGCTCCGAATGGGCCCTGTGACTCGCTAGTGCTTGGAGCGGGTGATCATATCCTTCCTCCTGCACGGCTTTGGGACGGCACTGCACTGGGGGTCTGCTTGAATTCGTGTCCCCGGGTCTAGCTGGTGGAACAGCACCCCCTTCTGTTGGGCACCATCTCCTTGCTTAGAAAATGCCTAATACTTCAGACAGGTTAGCTACATGCTTAGAAGCACATTGTTACATACCTAATTGTAACAGGTGCAGCAAATGCCAGGGTGCCGTTGTGCTGTCCCACCTCAGGGGAGACGCCCCTCCACATACCTGCAGCAACGTCTCCTAGGGCAGCTGCATGAAACAGGAGAGATAATATCTGTTGTTGGACCAACTCCTGTTGGTGAGAGAGAAACGCTTCCTCGGGTCTGGGAAAGGTACTCCACCTCACAGCTAAATACAAGGAGAAACAGATTGTTTAGCGTAAGTAGTTAACACATTTCAAGGTGAAGTGGCCTGTTAACACCCCTCCAGTCTTGGGGGGGGGGGAGGAGCGAGCTGCGGGGTGGTTGTAGTTAATTGGGTTACAGATTGTCGTAATAAGCCATAAATCCAGTGTCTCTATTCAGTCCATGATTTTTAGTGTTTAGCAAAGTTATGAATTTAAGCTCCCTGGCTCATATTTTGCCAGGTGTTTGTGCAGGTTTCCGTTGCGAGTGAGGACAGACAGGTGAGACAGTGATTGCTTTGTGAAAAGTGCTCACCCACAGGTGACAGGGTGTTTGTCTTGTATCATTTTTCAGTATGAGCTCACTGGAGAGCGTCATGTTGTCTGATTTCACCCACACAGTTGTTCTGGGGCATTTAGTGCCCTGGATGGGATACACCCCATGTTGTGATGGGCATTTGTAGGACCAGGGAACTCGAAAGGTGTCATGGGGGATGCTGATCATCGTAGCAGTGCAGCTGTGTCTGCAGGTTTTGCATCTGTTGTGGCAGGGTCTGGTGCTGCTTTGAGTTGGTGGGTCCTGGTCTGTGGGGAGCTGGCTTCTGCTGACGAGCTTGGAGAGTTGTTTGAAAGCCAGAAGAGGGGGTTCTAGAGAAGTTCCCAGGCTGGGGGTTCTACTCTCTGTTTCCTAGTTCAAAAGAAGAAGGGTGAGGGGCACCCCATCCTGCATCTTCAATTCAACATGTTTGTCGATTTGGGTTCAGGAAGGTGAGACTGGCATCCAGGGCGCATAATTCCATATGGTGACGCACCCCTCAGATTCCTCGTGGGAAAGTCTCTCTGCCAATACAGAGTGCTCTCCCTCGGCCTCTCCATGACCCCAGGGTGTTCGCCGAGTGCCGGGCGGTCATGGCTGGACACCTTAGAAGGCAAGGAGCAAACCCCACAGGAGCGTCCCAGGACTGAGGGCCCTTCAGCTGGCATGTGTAGGCATTCTGCCAGGTCTTCAGTGTGCCACAGGACAAGAACTCCCTGCCAACACCATGATGCGCTATAGCAACACGCACTGGGGGCTCGCATGCCACCACTGTGTCAGGAGGCGATCCCACAGGCACTGGTGCAGCAATCGCCAAGTCTCCGGAGTAGCTCTTCACTTCCCCAATCTGCAGAACACCTCAGCCAGCACCATCAAGTCATGCTAGGATCCGTTCTCCACGACACCCCGCTGTAACCCTGCGGCACATCCCACCTGACCGAGGAGTGGCACAGGTTCTGCTCTGTCAGGGCAGTCGGTCCTGCTCTCCGTCGGACCCCTTTCTGGTTCCATGGGCCTGAGGTGCATGTACGCCTGCCCGGCTGTTCCCCTGGTATCGAGACTCCTCAGGACGATCAAACAAGACCCAGCTCTGGTGACTGTGGCAGCCCCGGCTTGGCCCAAGCAGTTTTGGTACTTTGACCTCATGAACCAGTCCCTATGGCCCCCGTCAGGCAGACTCTTGCAGTGCGAGGCAAAAGGCCTGGCCCTACACCCAGACCCTGTTCCCAGCTCAAGCTGGAAGGACTCCAGTTAGCTCACCGCTTCCCCTCAGCACGTTTTCAAAAAGCGGTGCGCCTGCCGGCCAGCGCTGACCTCCTGCAGGCAAGGGGGGGCAGCACGGCTGGAGGAGCCATGGGGAGGGGGCGGCACGACCGGAGGAGCGAGGGGGGGTGCAGCAGGGCCGCCCGTAGCCAATGGGCCGGGGCGGCAGGCGCAGCCAGAGGAGGCAGAGCGAGGGGGGGCGCAGCACAGCCGGCAGCTGTGGCTGGAGGAGCAGGGGGGGGGCGCAGCATGGCGGCCGGCAGCCAAAGGGGGGGTGGCACAGCCGGAGGAGCCAGCCAAGGGGGGGCGCGGAGCGTCCGGAGGAGGAGCCAAGGGGGGGTATGGCCAGAGGAGGGGCCGGAGGGGGGGGGTGCCTTTTTTTTATGTTTGCTCCCCCTGCTCTTAGATCCTGGCTACGCCACTGGCTGCGCCGTGGAAGAGGTTCTCTAGCTGAGCTGTGGAGAAATGGGCGTCTCCCCTTTCTGAAGCCCCACTCACTGCCATTCTCAACTGCCTGCTTGCCTGAAGGCAGGTGGGGCTCTGTCAGTTCAGAGTGCTCCGGACTCTGCTCACCCCCTCTGGGGGAAGGCCGCAGTCTCCTGCCACCTAACCATTGCCAGGATCCTCAAGAGGCTTATTCGTGGCTTCCCGCAGGCCAGGCCCCATCTTCCTTGGGCGGGGGGGGGGGCTCCAAATCTGACAGCCGCTTGGGCAGCACTGCCCCGCAGACATTAGTCCAGCAGATGCTGAGCACCCCCTGCAGGACATGGGTCCCTGCATGTGAGCCGCCAGAGGTGGGATATGTGTGGACAGTTGCTCAAAGACCAGTTACTTACTTACCCTGTGGTAACAGGTTGGTTGAGACGTGTTGTCTACGTGTGTTCCATGATCCACCCTCCTTCCCCACTACTGCAGAGGCCTTGCCAATCGGGGTCCTGTTTAGCAAAGAAACTGGGGAGCAGTTGCAGCCACCTGGCCCCTTAACTTTCAGTTATGGGGTGCTGGAGGGACCTGGGGCGCAGGCAGAGACCCAATGGACAGTGCTACGCAAGAAGATTCTGGTCTCGGAAACCTGGGGCACATGTGGGTGACACGTCTCGAAGAACCAGGCATGCTGTAGGGCAGGGAACCGTTTGCTCCGGACTCAGATGAGGAAGGTGTAGGGGGTGCTCGTATTAGTGCTGTTTTATATATTGGGCTGGGTTGGGGTTGAGCTGAAGAGAGTTGATTGAAGGTCTGACAGGTCTGTTTCCCAGCCTACCTGAGGGTTGGCCTCTCTTGCTGGCTGGCTCTTTTCTGTCTCTGGCTGTCTCCTCCTCTCCCCATCTGACGCGTTGCTTTGTTTGGCCTTCTCCCTCTTTAACTACTTCTCAGCCACTGTCTCCTGCAGCCTGAATCCCTAAGGAATGCTGCTGCAGAATGCGAACCGAGATTTGTGGATCTGAATGCAAAGCAAACCGCCCCCAAAGGTGTCTAATCTGCCCCACATCTTTCCTCTGCCGCAGAGTCTCCGTATTTCACTGTCCCAGGTGCCTGGACTTGCATATGGCAGTCATGAAATTACTAAAAAAAGAAGAACAGGAGTACTTGTGGCACCTTAGAGACTAACAAATATATTACAGCATAAGTCTGCACGGA